TCGTGTCCCCTCCCTGGCTGCCAGTACCAGCCAAGAGGGGCACGGATCTAATAAACATGTGGTTGCATTCAGTCTCCCCAGGACCCTGTCCACATCTTCAGGAGCAACAGAGTCAAACTCCTCCCATACAACCGTCTCAAGACCTGCTCCCGTCTCCTCCCCCTGGACTAACCAGTCGGAGTCCAAGCTTTCCCGAATCTGAGAGTCGTTGAGGCCACTTGAGGTTTATCTGTAACTTCAGAGTTGTCTGAATCCGAGTGTAAACCGGTATGGGCCCTTTTTGGGATTGCTGACAGATGGTGTCGTATTTTCCCCCTCTGTTGAGGGAGGTTGTTCAATTTTGACATAAATGGCCTCTTCGACTTCTCTTTCAAACCAGTGGTCTTTTCTGTCCAGAATGTGAACTTTGATGTCTTCAAAAGAGTGAACTTTCTCTTTCAGATGCAGATGGACTCCTGAATCCTGTCCTGATGGGATTGTTCTCTTGTGTTGTGTCATGCATTTGTGGCTCTTTTAGTTGTATGAATCAGGACATGATGGCAAACCATACATCATTTATTTGAGTACAGCAGGGGTGTCAAACTCGCAATGTCACGTGACGTGTCACGACGTATCGTGACTTTTTTGCCATTGCCGGCAATGGGGTGGGCGCGGTTTCGCTATGATGCATCTGGCCTGTGGGTCGGCGGTTTGACACCCCTGGAGTACAGGTAGTCCTCGAGATATGACCCTAATGGTGTCTACTCATTATGGTCACATGTCACAACAGTTGTTAAGCAAAACAGCCTCAACAACCCCACTCCTTGCTTTCTCTGATGCAAACATTAAATAAATAAGGGAATCATTCAACAGAGCGTATGGTGCCCCGGGGGTAGGGGAGGCTCTTGAGAGGCCTACACAGGCCCAGGAATGCCTGCCCAGACCTCCCCCACCACTTGAGGCACCCTATGCTCCACTTCTTGACAATCTTTCAGCTTTCTTCCCATCCAGCAGGCAAGGGAAGATCAGACCAGTTGGAATTTGGAAACTCTGGCTGCCTTGACCTCGCCTTGCTTGCTGGGTAAGAAGGAAACGGAGGCTTGCCAGCGCCAGCTGATTCATGCCTGCTATAGCTGCCTGATCTCCAATGGGTGGATAAGTGGCTGCAGGGACCCAGCAGGATTGTAAGAGCAAATGACTGTGGGGTTACTGTAGTCATCGTAACTTTGAAATTGGGTTGCAAGTAGTTTTTGGGGAATCTGATGTAACTTTGAATGGTCTGCTAAGCGACCTGTCCTAAGTCAAGGGCTACCTGTATTGAATGTTATACAAAAATACTCATTTGTATTGGGTGAACCCTGCCTTTGTGTGAGAGTTATCATCTATCCTCTTGATCTCAAACAAGTAATGCCTGCAGGCTTTGTTTATGATGTGCCTTTAAACATTTACTTATTTCTGATATGGCCTGGACTTCACTTTAATATGCTTCCATAATGGCCTTTTGATTATGGAATAGTTTCCTTGGATGGTGTTAATCAACCATCTATTACATCTAGAAGAATATCTATGTGGTGCCAGTTTCTTCTCATTATTTTTTCCTTGAGAAGAAAAATAAGTTAGATTCTCTTTTGAAATGGTGATTAGGTTGCTTTTGATAAAAGCTGACCATTATCAGTTATAGACCAGTATCAAACAACATTCAGTCCGTCCATAATTTATAGATTGTTACTAACAAAGCTCAAAGGACTGTTGAGTTAAACTTATTTTTAGATTTATTTTGATTGGGAAAAAAGATGAATTTTACAAAGTAATAGAGGGCAAAAAATAAAATCCTGTTTGTAGTTCTCTTAGTAGCCTTTGTAATATTAACCTTGGATTGATTGTATAATTTGGTTTTGGAGGTATATTATAATAAATTTCTGTGTTTTTGCTCTTGGATGGTTGATTCCCAAAAGTGATGCTTTGGGATTATTGTTCTCCTCTGTAGCAATTAAGATGTGTTCAAAACAGTTCTGTTTTAACTTCCATATTGTTTAGCATATATGTGAAACTGTATGAAATTTACCCAGGAATGGGGAACGGAATAACTAGAAATTGGAGATACCCCATTCTCCAGCATGAGGGATGGATAATCCACTTGATTGGGTTTCCTGAAGTCCCTTGTACCCAATAAGACTAAGTCTGAGATAGCCACGCCTCCTGCCTGTCCGCACATGCCCAGTTCTGACTTAGTCTTCTACCCAGAAAGGCGTGTTGTTTCTTCTCTCCAGACTTCAGGTTTTATTTAACTATTTTTTCCCTATCG